GGATTAAGCGTTACTTTTCTCGATTTTTCTTTCCCTCCTTCTTTCTGGCCTCCCTCAGGGTGGTTACCTTCGTAGAGACAACGAGACACTGTATGGACATACAAGAGAAAGATCTCTGCCCCAAAGAGCAGAATCTAAATAGATGAAACAGACAGAGAGTGGGAGGGAAAACAGAGGCACAAAGAGATGAAGTGACTTTCCATAGCTCACACAGTAGGTCAGTGGTAGAGCTAGAAATAGAATCCAAAGCTCCTGATTCCCAGTCCTGTGCCCTTTTTACGAGACCATATTTCCTTCTGATGTTAAATGGTATCCTGTATCCTTTGTAATGACTTTCCCTGGTTATTTCTGTCAGACCCATTTCATCACTCCTTATAAAAAGTTTGTCAGCACCAATCTACTGTATTTTATGACATATTGACTTTAGACAAATACATTAGACATTTTTAACCTAGGGAAAACTCCTCGTATTGTCAGTTCAAGTTTTTCTTGAGCAGAGGGTAAATAAAGAATCCTGAATAGGGCTTGCAGACCGTGGGAAATTAAGTGGCCCACTGTCTTTAATACATTTTCCAAGGCATGTACTGTGTGTAAGATGAATCAATAGTAAACATCTTTCATCTTCCTGAATGTCATTAATTCTAAGCTTTTTTTTTTCTTGATGCCTGCACTTAAGCCCTGATTCAGGAAAACACTTGACCATGTACTTGAAATTAAGCACATGCTTACATCCCTTTGATGTCAATGGGACTTATTCATGTACATAAAGTAAGCAAGTGCGATGTACTTTCCTGAATCAAAACTTTAGTCCTGATCCTAATAGGGTTGCCAATTTTGGTTGGACATATCCCTGGAGGTTTCATCACATGACATAATCTTTAATTGAAGATTAATTTTTAATTCCTGGAGAGTTGGCAACCCTATCTCCTGTTAGGAATCAGTTCTCTAAGTTAAATATTTATTTCCTTCTATTTAATATATGTTCCCACTGCTGGAAAGTTTTTGCACATGTATTTATTGAATATGAATTTTATTATGCTTGGTTTTATTTTCAGTCTCACTTTATTAGCTTTCATTATATGGCTCCTCACAGAGGTTCATTCTGTCAGTTAAAAGAACAGTATCTTCTACACAAGCAATGTTTTGGCCACTGTGGATCATGACCCATTTTTCTTCATGTTTCAGTCATCAGAAGACATCTCTGAGATAAGCTGCACTGAGATTTACAAAAAATGCTACCTCCTTGTCTAGCTCCTGTTACTTTTTATAAAAATATTTTGGCTATTCTAACATGGTGTCATAAATATAAAGGGAAGGGTAACCACCTTTTTGTATACAGTGCTATAAAATCCTTCCTGGCCAGAGGCAACATCCTGTTACCTGTAAAGGGTTAAGAAGCTCAGCTAACCTGGCTGGCACCTGACCCAAAGGACCAATAAGGGGACAAGATACTTTCAAATCTTGCTGGGGCGGCGGTGGCTTTTGTTTGTGCTCTTTGTTTACGTGGTTGTTCTCTCTTGGGACTGAGAGAGGCCAGACAGAAATCCATCTTCTCCAACCCATCCTAATCCAAGTCTCCAATATTGCAACCAGTATAGGTAAGCCAGGCAAGGCGGATTAGTTTATCTTTTGTTTTATGTGATTTTTCCCTGTGTTAAGAGGGAGTTTATTTCTGTTTTCTGTAACTTTAAGGTTTTGCCCAGAGGGGGATCCTCTGTGTTTTGACTCTTGAATACCCTGTAAAGTATTTTCCATCCTGATTTTACAGAGATGATTTTTACCTTTCTTTTTTTTTAATAAAATCCTTCTTTTAAGAACCTGACTGATTTTTCCATTGTTCCAAGATCCAGGGGTTTGGGTCTTTGATGATTTTGTAACCAATTGGTTAGGATATTATTCTCAAGCCTCCCCAGGAAAGGGGGTGTAGGGCTTGGGGGATATTTTGGGGGGGCGACGTCTCCAAGTGGTCTCTTTCCCTGTTCTTTGTTTAAAACACTTGGTGGTCGCAGCATACTGTTCAAGGCCAAGGCAAAGTTTGTACCTTGGGGAAGTTTTTAACCTAAGCTGGTAAGAATAAGCTTAGGGGGTCTTTCATGCAGGTCCCCACATCTGTAGCCTAGAGTTCAGAGTGGGGAAGGAACCCTGACACATGGGCATATGTTTTCATTTCGGCTAAAGTGTACAAGAGCTAAAGATGACTTTTGTGTGTCTGTAGCACTCTTAGTAGGAAACCTATTTTCCTGGACTTCCAGCTAACACTCTAAATAGTTTTAGAGCAATATTCTGCTGATGAGACACATGCAGAACTCCTGTTGGCATCACTGGGAATCTTGCACAAAGACTGAGGGGAGAAATAGCCTGTAAACTTAACAGAAGATGGAAAGAATCCTCAGTGGACAAATTCCCCTATATATATATATATATCTTGGGTCATGCTTTTTTATACAAAGAGTACACTTATAAATAGCTTATAAAGGATCAGTAAGTGATTAGTATATGTTTTAATAAATGTTTAATCAATTCTTAAAGATTGTTATGGAGTCCAACAAATCAATAGGTTTTTGTAATACCTTTGATCGATGTACTTAACACATACTGTTATGTCTGTAACATACATACATAACATTTATTAGTCAATTATTAATATTGCATAATATATTTATAAATGTAACTTCAATATAAAGTGTGACCTAATCTTGACCTGTCCAAAATTTAGGTCCAATCCTACAGAGTTACACTGTGCTTAATTTTAAGAAGTCCCATCCACTTCACTAGGACTACAAACATCCATGAATTTAAGCATTTACAAAGTGGATTTAATATGAATGAGCCGAACACCGTAATTCAATTACATTTAATTATATATCTAAAATGTTGAAATATTCAAAAAATTATGCCACATAAACAATTTTTAATGTATTTGGCATGTGGTTTTCTGTTTGCAATTTTCAAAATATTTGCTTTAAAAATGCCCCTAAACTTTCAGTAATTTTAAAATAAAAAATTATGGAAGGATAGCCCGAAGAATTAAATAGACTCAGGACATCAAAAGCATCTCTGCATTTACTGCTTTCAGTTGAAAAGTTCAGTAACATAGAGTCTATTAACATACATATTTGATAACCTAGTTCAGGATACATCAGGAAGTACCAGAATTTTACTAATATAGTGGCAACATAAAAATGTCCTTGAAATACACCAAAAGCTATTATTTTATCCTAATTGTATTGATGGAATCTTCTATTAAGTTGGCCAATCAAAGTGGGCTACCTGTTGGAAGTTCCAAGTCAAGTCTCGAGTTGTCTAAAGTCAATATGTCATAAAATACAGTAGATTGGTGCTGACAAACTTTTTATAAGAGGCAAGAAACTTGTCAGAGGTATACCGACAGGGAAAGTTTTTAACTATGTAGCCATTATGCTATGACTGACTAGCACCATCTAGTACAGAAAGTAATAGGGTTTATTTTATTTTATTTTACTTGCTAGGTGGAGTGTTGACTGGAGGTAACATAGAATTCTCCTGGGGCATGTGTTGAATATCTCCCCCCCCTTCTAATTAGCATTGCTTGGAACCCCTTGGGGTTCAGGCAGCAAGTTGAAGACCTCATGTCACATTCCACCTTAAATAAGTATGCATCCATACAAACTGTAAGAACTAATCCAGTGGCTCAGTTTCTGACTCCCAGTTATTCACACTTATGCTCTGACTTCAAGTTTGTGTCGGTAAGTTTTATTTGTGCAGTAAAAAATACTGTTGTTCAAAGTAAGAAGTTGTCACTCAAATAAGCATTTTATTACTAACTACAATTAATTTATTCTCTGTTCAGAGTAAAAATCTTAAGTATCTGTGATAAACTAATATCTGATTTAGTCAAGAAAGTTGGAATAAAATTTTGGGTTTTTTAATTTAACTTATTATTTAATTGCATCACAACTGATAGATCTGAAGGACTGATAGAAAATGCTGCAGTTATTAGATGTTAAGATAAAATCTAGACATTAGAGCACTGAAATGGGAGGCAAGACTTGTGGGTTCTATTCCCTTCTCTGCCACTGACTCACTTCATTGTACTTCAGCAAATAATTTAACCTTTCTGTGTTTCGGATTCAGCACTTGCAAAATGAAGATAATATATGCCTGTGTGTCATGAGGGTACTGAGTAGTTTAAATACCTGATCCTGCAAAACCTTCCATGCATGGAATTCTCATTGACATCAACTGAAGAACTGTACGTGAAGGGTTTTCAGGATACTACTCATAAAGCACTTAAAGATCTTTGACTGAAAGAAGTTACAGACGTGCAAAATATGAAGAAATTCTAAACATAAACCTCCTTTCAACTCATTCTTCAGCTGGAAAAAAGAGAACAGTACAATACCACAAAGTAAGGTTGTGGAAAATAGACAAAAAAGGTAGAAGGCTGAGGGAGAATAAAAACAGCCCTAATTTAATTAATAAAAATGGATTGACTGATGCTTTAGATTTTTGTCTAAGTTTCACTCTAGCAAGAATCTGAAAAGTTACATACATTTTCTTAAAAGTATAATTTGACCAACATATTTAATGCAGCAAATAATATTTTAGTTGAAGGGATAACATTCTCTCTCAGAACAATTTGAGGAAGATTGTGTGAGTACTTTTTTACAGTACAGATATACAGCCGCTGGGAATGAATAGGGCTCTGATCCTGCTCCCATTGAGGTCAATGACAAAACTTCTATTGACTTCAGTAAAATTAGAATGGGGTCTAAGCTACCTCCTGTACACACCACAGAAGGTAATAGCATCTTATCAACAGATTTTTCTTGACATCCACTTTGCAGTAGATAAATCCCTCTACTGCTTCTCAGCTTGAAATAACTCATTACCATTTTAAAAAGTGCTGAGCTCTTTATGAGAGCATTGACCTGCCCTTTTGGTTAGGGTTAAAAAAAGTTATGTGATAGGAATTATTCTCCCTGAAACGAATTTTTATTTTCCTTTGGCTTTTATTTCAGCTGTGGGAACCAGCTGCTCGAAAGAGTGTGGGAAGCTGACTTGGAGGCCTGTCAGCTGTTGATCCAAGGGTTTCAGCTGAAAGAAGCTGGTTGCTGTGTTTCAGAGGGAGAAGAGGGCCGAACAGATGAGATGGATGCTGCTACTGATCACTATTCGGACACAGAGAGAGGAAAAGAAAGCCACTTTCCAAAAGGGGCAGAGCGGGGCGCTGTTCCATGCCCCATTGCTCAAACCAAATGCTGTGAACTCAAAGAGGTATCTAGGAGTTTTCTGCAAATTGTTGAATGATGTCATTGTTTTTCATTTTGAGAGGGAGGGTTAAGGGTCAGCAAAGCAGATTAAGAATTAATTTTAGATTTGGCCTCAAATAAGGACAAAAATAAAATAGCTTTATGAAAACTCTCTCAATCCTTTTTCCTTTCACCATCAATCTTTTTAAAATTAAGAAAGAAAGAAAGAATATGTAATGTACATCGATTTTTGGGAGAAAATATTCTCATAAGATTCTTTATGGATTTAACACAAATTATCAACCATGTCTCCTTTCACTTACATCAGTTTCATGCTAGTGTGACTCCATTGACTTTTTATTCCTGATTTACATCTGCATGAGGGAGAGGAGAAGCAGGGTCCCTAATGTCAGTGGAATGGGCTAAGTCTTTCCAGTTCAGATGCTGGCAGACTTCCAGTTTGCATCAAATATTAAAAAGGAAAAAATGAGGAGGCTTAAAGGGCTTGACATATTTCTTTTAAGTTTTGTGGTTTGCTTTGGAATTTCTGTCTTAAATATTTACAACTACCCAGTAATCATTTAACAGCACTGCAAGGATAAGCAAGCTGCTAAGGAGTCATACCATCCAACACCATGTAATGTGAAAAAAAAAAAAAAACCACCGTATGATATGCATTGTTTTTATTTCTTTAGAATTTTGTTGACAAAAATTAAATGGGTGCTTAGGAGTACTTAGTGTTAACAGCCACTGAACTCTGCACCACATAGAAAATTGATGTTTAATTGTGCATTTGTATTGACTGGGATTTAGCAGAAGGCAGGCCATTACCCTACTGTAAATTCCCCTCTGATCTAGTAAAATTCTATTCTGAATCAGGCTGTGAATGGTATTTTCAACCTTTTGAAAAATAAAACATTTTACATAGCTGGACAAGTGGTAACACAGAGGGCATTTTCATCCTAAATGGCCAGCTGTCATATTTAATTTTATCTGCTGTTCTTGGTGAATCTGCAAAGATAATGCCAGCAATTCTGTTGCTTGGGTAAAGCTTGACTCTTCTTCCAAAAGTGCAACTGAGAATCTGGGGAGGTTTGGGATTGATGATTCCTTTTTCTTATGACCATCACTGGGGACAATACTGTGAGCAATATTGTATTTGTTGTGAAAGACTTCTTTGAGGCAGAATCAGTGAAATAATTCTTCTAGTTCTCACATGTTAGTAGGGCATCAAGTTCTGTGGTGGGGCAGAAGTTCAGTCTCTTGGAAAGTAGATAATTCAGCTCTGGTAAGGGGTAGCCTTGATAAGTTGATGATGTTGGGGTGTCGCCTAGTATCCAGGTGGTGGGTCCTGGTGTCATGGTTTCTCCTGGAAGTATTCTGTGGGTTGTGAATTTGTTGTAGTTATTTCCATTTTTTGTTTTTGTGTTGGATGGGGTGGGGGTTGGGTTATAGTTGTTTTGGCTTTCTTGCATGATCTCCAGGTAGGTTTCCTGGGTTTTTTTCTTTTCAGAGTATGGGAGCATGTGATGATGTCTTGTTTGAGGGGCATCCCTTCTGGAATATGTGAGGTGCTGGAGATGGTTCCCCAGTTTTTCTGAAGTCCTTCTGCAGAGCTCTTTAGCATATTTAGAGTTGTATGTAGTTAAGTGGTCAGAGATTTATAGATGGTTAGTCCTCTGGGAGTCCTCTTGAATTTGCTCAGGAAGTAGAGGACGCTGTTAAGTTTGGTTTCCTTTTTCTTCAAGTTGTGGAATTTCCATTTCAGACAGTAAAATTTGATATCTTCCATAGTTGTTTGCAGTGTTGTGGTAGCTGTGTTGGTCCCAGGATATTAGAGAGATAAAATGGGTGAGGTAATTTATTTTATTGGACCAACTTTATTGGTGAAAGAGACAAACTGTCGCGCTTACACAGAGCTCTTCTCAGAAGAGTACTCAGAATATCACAGCTAAATACAAGGCGGAACAGATAAGGAGTTGCAAGAGTCCATTCAAGGTGAAGTGGATAGTTTACACCTCTACAGTTGTATGACAAAGGAGGGTTAGTGGGTTACAGATTGTTGTAATGAACTATAAATCCAATGTCTTTATTCAGTCCATGGTTTTTGGTGTCTAGCAGAGTTATGAACTTAAGTTCCCAGACTCATGTTTTGAAGGTGTTTTTCATGGCTTTCTTTCTTTTGGCTCCTTACAATAATCTGTAATATCCTGGGACCAACACAGCTACTACAGGACTGAAAACAAATTTTACCATGATTTTCTCAATTGCTCCCCAGAGAAAGTTGTTGAGTTTCTCAATACTGCCTCAATACTACATTGACCAAGTGATTAGGTGCTTCATTTCATTTTAGAAAAATCAGGCCAACTTACACATTTGAGACAAATGAAACTGCTTACAATGGCATGGGAAATTCAATTCCAGAGCTGCTTCAGCTTCAGTTCTACTACCTTAGCTTACCAGATTCCTGTGTTTCTTTGGCCTTCATTCAGTTTTGAAGATCTTAAGATCTGACCCCATATGGCTCCTTTAAATAAGACATATCTACTTATGCCCTTAGTTTGACATTACATTTTCAAGATTTTGTTTGCTTTTGTCGAGCATAAAATCTGTACAAAAATTTTCATCATTGGTATTGTGGTGTAGACAGTAGCAGAACAGGCTAGTAGCATCTGAACAGGAATGTTGGGCAGTGTATGTCTAGTGAGAGAAGGCCTGGAGTGTATCTTTCACAAACGGCTTCTAACAGCCAGTTATGGGGTGGAATATTTAATAAATACATTACACCTTTCTGTAGCCATGGCAATAATTTTTTTTTACTTGTTGAGAAAGAGAAATTGGGTGAAAGAAGGAAGCAAGTCCTCTGATCTGTAAATGCACTTACTCAAGAGGTCTGGCATCTCTTTTCCAGCATTTAAACTCTGTCATGATGCATACCTGTGGAACTTTTATGGTCGTTTAAAAATAGCTCTGTCTATGGCAAATAGGTTATATGCTTTTTAGTTACTCTTTCATTTGACCACTGAAAGGGTTTTAAGGTATCTCTTAGGGAAAAGCTTAATGATGATCATTAGTAATTAACCACATGATAATTTATCATGTGACAAGGGATGGAGATTATAGACACTCACTTAAGGAAGAATGTACATTTACCAAATTATTTGATGGTATTCTTTGAGTCCTTATAGAGTCCTTCTAAGATATCTTGATAATATTGAGCTCATTTTTATGGGGGTGACCCCCTTTAATGATCTTATCTCTGTTCTAGGGTATGGGGTATCAAAAGAGGAGTGGTATCCTTTGAAGAATATTAACTCCTTTCCAAAAAAGAGGAAAAGAGGCATCATTTGTTTTGGAGCTTGCAGAATTGTTATCTTCAAAACAATGTCAGAGAGGATATAATAATACATATGCACACACACACTTCACATAGACTGGCAGCCTGGCACTTGATTCACTTTATACTGAAATGTTATGAGGGGTTGAAGGCTGGATTCTAGTGGTTCATTTGTCAGTATTACAATTACTAGTTCATACACTTTCACTTCGAGTCATTTATCTTGCTACCTCTGACAAAACATTATTGTAAACTGGATCCTGGGTTCATGGCAATGTATTATAAATACAATTTCCTCACATACAATTAACTTTTGCTCACAGGTTTCATTAAAAACTTGACTATTATTATGCAAAAGGGGTTTGAAACAGGAGAAGGGGAACAGCCACTCATTCAAGATCCTGCTGGATTTGCTCCTTGATAAAAGAGACTTGCTTATTTTACTATTTAAAAAAATAATATATATCCTCAGTAGGTCACAGAATATCACATGTTCAGTCATGATTGTTCAGGCTTTGCATACTTTGAAAGTTCCAGATATCTTACTTTCCTGCGTGATCATAAGTTTATTATCTGACAGCCTTATCCCTGTATTTCTTAAGCAGTTGGAATATATTTTATAGTTGTACTTACACTGAAGACTCAGTGATCCTCACAAATACTATTCTCTTTTTAACCTGCTTATGTAGAACTCAGAATTAAATATACTGTGTTTAATGGGACAATAAACTCCCTGAAAATTGCCAAAGCACTCTTGAAACTACCTGCGGCATCACAGAATAACCATATCTAACAAACTTCCCCTGAAAAACCAACTGTAGAGCTGGAAAAACATCTACAACCCATGACAACCCTGCTGGTAGAAGCACCTTTACTGGTTTTTGCCAGAACTAAATCAAATGGGAACAGCCAGAAACACCTGAGAATAAATGGCACCCCACTGGAACTACCAATAGCTGGTCAGATCAGTCTTCTTTAACTTGTTGGAGCAAGCCCAAAAACAACACTACTCAGTCTGAACGAAGCCAAAGTACTCTTGCACCAGACGGAGTAAAGATAGATTCTGACAACTTCAGGTATGGTTCTTCTATCAGGAACCAAAACTAACTTGCTGGAATTAAGTAAGAACAACATGGCATTAAGTAAAGAACAACCTTTAGTCTGAAGGAACCAAACTGGAATCATAGCAATTGGGTGTGATTCTGCCATGGTCCCAGTGGGTTCTAGATTTGTTCCTTAAAATTTTCTGTAGCTCTAAATTGACTCAAAGTATTTTTACTCTGGTTACTTAGAAGTGGAGGAGGTTGGAATTTTTTTCATAGTTTGTTTCTGGGTAATTTCTGAATTATACCAGGATTTTACCCAGCCTTATATACAATAACACTTCATTTCTCAAGATATATAACATCTGCACATTGCATCTCTCCTTGTGTGTCCTTGCTTTGGCTTTTGTTTGTTGATATTTTCCTTGTAAGCAACATCAGAGGCACTGCTGATAACTAATATCTGTGTAGATTTGTGTGTGTTAAAACCTCCCTAACATCTGGTATCGCTATGATCATGAATACCCATGAACCTTCACGTTTCATTTCCTGACCTGTCCTTTTTTTCTTCTTCTTCTGGCATGCTGTGCAGTGTTCCCTCTTTAACCTTATGAAGGAAGGAAACACCTACTAGATTTCAAGCGAATTCAGGTGATTAAAGTTCCAAGGTAAAAAAACAAACTGCAGTAGTATTACCTTTGGTAAGCCAACATGTTTGGTAACTACCACATCAGTCATTTGTAACGTGTATAATTCCATCTCAATGCTTGAAACAGTGTGTGTGGTGTTAGAGTAGAGAGCAGGTTGCCAGGTTCTCTTCCAGCTGTGCTATTAATTTGCTTGATCTTGAGCAAGTCACCTTTCCTCTCTGTACCTCAGTTTTCCCATCTGTAAAGAAGATTTGTAAAGCGCTTTCAGATCCTTGTTGAAAAGGTGCTATATAATTACACAGCATTTTGTTTGATTAGCTATGTTTGAGATATTAATACTCTGTGATATTGAAATGGACTCTCACTAAAAAGAAATGACAACAGTATACTTTTTAAATGATAAACATTAAAAATTAAGTCAAAACTGTATGTGATATAGTGTTTGTCAGACTTTGGTGAGAACAGTCAGCAATAAAGCCTTTGTCAGTGGGATGCAACACATTACCATAGATTAAAGTACCCTCAGATCCAGGAAGTAAATGTGCCAGATATAAAGGGCAACACTTGTAGAAATCTAAACAAAATGTACTTTCATATTAGTTTAATTAAATATTGTATTTGTAGAGATTCAAAAATCATTTGGAGACTTTAAATTTATCTATCTTAAATGTCAACATTGAGCATCAGTGAAGGTCAGTGTTTGAGTATGTTTTCTATAGCCTTAATCCAACCTGCAAAGGGATTCTGTAACAACAAGCTTGTATACAGTGGTCAGGTCACCATTGTACAGCCAGCATGTACCCACATTTACTACACAGCAATGCCTAAGATTCCTCCGCTCATTCTAACCATAAGGAAATACTGAGGAGTGTCAGAAACCACTGTGTGGTATCTCTGGGTAAAAGCTAGCTTTTTAATGAAGTCATCTGTAACACACAAACTTTAATCCTTCCAAGAACATGAAACAGTAAAAACCAAAAAATGCACTAACCAACACCCCAACAAACAAAAACTGAAGACAGAGTTAATGTCTTTGCAGAGTTCCCTTCTTTGTAGAGGTGGAGTTCTGAAAATGTTCATCATTTGTTTCCTATGTACAGGTCTCTGATACTGTGTGTTGCTTTGTCAAAACACTAACCTTAGCTCTATTCATGTGAGGGCTACAAATAGTGTGTGTGTATGTGGGATACTAATATATAATTTTACAGTTTCATGACTTCCCCAACTACCCCTCAGCCTAGCCATTTAAATATTTTCTAATTTCTTGTATCGTAGTAGAAATGTGCCTTGAGAAAGGTTTTGAAGAAGGAGAGAATAGTAGCCTTATGGATCAGTTCAGGGAAGTCTTCCATGCCTGTAAAAGAATCTGTGTGGGAGGACCATGGTGTCTGTGTGGGACATCAGTGGGACTCTGCACTGGCATAAGGATGTACTGGTGCAGTGTCACATAGATGATTGGGGCCTACAAACTTAATTTATAAATTAGAGTTTAATCAGATAATCGTTGGTCCGTTGTACAATATATTGACCAAATAAATCTAATAATCTACATTTCACCTCTCTCATTCTTTCAGATTTTTGTTGGCGTGGCTAAAAAAAGTTTTGCTTTCCACATAGACTTCTTGAACTTCTACTGTTCTTTACAAACTTCATAGAAGATTCCACTCCAACCCCAGATCTCATCTAGTAGTTTTGAGGATGCTATTCATTTGTTTGTAGATTTGAGGGGGGGGGGCAGTAAAAATCAGGATTATTTATAACAGAAACTGTAGCCTTAAATATGGCCTGGCTGCCGTTCCATAATAAGCTCCGTGGAAATTAGCTTTGAGGTTTCTCCTTTATTGACTTCTATACTCTTTCTTTATACTTATGCTGCAAAACAATGTGAGAATTCAACCTGTGTAATTTTTACTATGCTATACTGCTGATAAACAATTACATTAAAATCTTCATGTTTATACATAATGTATTATGTTTATCTTATGACATATCCCTAACAGGTTGTGGAGGATATTTCATTTGGTACAGATGATTTGTATGAGGTAAGTGCTTTCTAGACAATATAATGGGGTGGGGGGAAATTGCTAACTTCCTCGGGATTCCTTTAAAACAGATACATCCTTTTTTAGACATTACCTTTGGGTGAAAATTGCAGAATAGGGGGCTGATATTTAGGAAAGCAAGGCCAAGACCAAAATTAAGGGACCAAGCTTTCTGCCATTGAAGGTAATGGGAAAACCGCTAGTGACTTCAGCAGAAGCACGATCAGACCTTAAGGCAGTGGTTTTAACACAGATGTAAGAAATAGTATTAATGCACCAGAGAAATAGACAGCTAGCGATAATTAGTTTACTCTAGTGTATGACAATAATGATATTTTACCATGGAGCAAAATCATAATGCTTGTTTCCTCGTCTACCTGTACCATACTTTTTTATTCTATTTGAATCCCTTTGAACAAATTATTTTTCCTTTCAGAAGTATATAAATGTTTGGAGTTTTGATCTTCAATATAAATGTTATCTGGATACAAATCCTGGATGTTTGTCATCTTTTTGGTATCTTGTTTTGCAATCATTTTGTAAATAAAGATGTCAGATCTTACAGTTTGTATCTTTGAGCAAAGTCTAAAATAATGAAGTAGATTGAGATGCATTTCCTGTCAAAAATAAATGGGGGGACAGCCTCTTTTTGCTATAAACTGAGTGGTCAGATAATAAATCTGTAGTTACATTTATATTGCCCTTGGGAGTAGTATAAATTCACAGTGGCCCAATTCCACACTGGGATACCGTGGGCTGAAGCTTGCATATTGAGAAAGTTTAGTTGACATGCACCACTTACAGCAAGCAAATTAATTACACAGGAAGTAAACCTTATTTCACATCCCATAGTAGTATATATACTCCCCTGCTGTCCAGCTATGCAAATTCAAAAATGAACTGTTACTGGGTTGCAATATGGGGTAGCCATCTGGATAAGCCACTACTCTGTATTACCACCAGTAAATCCAAAGGCTGCATAGAAGCTGGAAAAATCCAGACAAGATACCCTACCTCAAGAGATGAACTAAAATTACTGTCTTTGTGGACAGCCAGACTGTGAGATCATGCCCAAATGAGACTACACAGGACAGAGAAAGTTCAGCTGTGCATGATGACATCATGTGCAGGAAGAAGCTTTTGTGGGTGAAGGTTATCTAAGCAAAAAATTAGTTCAAGATGATGGAAACTGCCTCTCATGCCATTGGCCTCAGCTGTGAATCAGGACAAAGCCATGCATAGGCCTCTGAACAGTGTTGACACACAAAAGGAGTACAGAATCCTGCAGACACCAAGACAGAGAAAACACCTGTTGTCAGAAAAGAATGACAACAATGGCACATGGACAGTGTCCAGTCATCAGCCACAGGCAGCTGCCAAGATAGCAGAGTTTTTACAAGATAGTATAGGCAGCATATGGCCTGAGATACAGAATGTAAACACCTCCAGCAGACTAATACACCGCAGTGATACAGAAAGCTGCAGGGCAGTTGCTGGATCATGGTGACTAGACAGAGTTAGAAAAAGGAATTACTTACACTGTGAGCCACCTGCAAATCATATCCAGCTATGCTGACTCCTTACACAAATGGATGTGCACACCAGAAAGCAATTTCTATGAACAGTTCTGGCCCAATACAGATTATCACTTGCAAGCCAGTAGATGACATTACCCACAGGAACATCTCACAACAGGAACTGGAATTATCCCAGGTACATTAAATGAAGCCAGTGCAGTAGTAGTAGTTCACTTGCATATTCAAAAGCCTGCCCAGCCCAGAGAGATTGTATCATTCAGACAGAGGGAATACAGAGAAGAGATGGGAACGTGTTCTCACACAGAACATGGCAAGGTGTCTGTGTGACTGAACACTGGAGGACAGCAGAAAAATATAGACCAGTGTGGATGCTCTTCCAAGAACATTCTTCAGCAACTGTAATACAGGAAACATGAGGGGACAGAATGGTCAGGGTTGCAGCATGATTTTGGCAGTAATTAACATACCCATGTGCCACAACATCCAGTATTCTGTACCACTGCAGAGGAGGTGGGAAGATAGATCAGACTGAGCTGAGGAAATGTGAGAGGTGGTAGTGAGGTGTCACATAATTGCAAAGAACCTGAGTGGGAACCTTAGTACTTGGGTCGCTGCACATAAGAAGCAGCTCTGATGCATGTTGTCGTGTTGAAGCTGCTCCTGAACACCCCCACATGCCCATGCGGCAGCTTCCTTCTTGGCAGAAGGTTGATGAGATGGCAAGAATTAAAGCATGTCTGATAAGCCATGGCTTGCTGTGTTCCTAGTTATCTTTTGGAGTTTGCTTGTGTTATGTTTCACGTAGCCCCTCTCCTCTCACCAGTGTGCTCAAACATGCCAATCGCTGTCACTCAGACATGCAGAGAGCTCTGACAGAGGGCGAGATGTTTGGAGGGTGAGATGCACAAGCAGTGATCACCTCTTGTGTCCACAGTCACACAAGACATACTCAGGCTGTGACATACAAAAACAGAGAAGTACAGTCCCACACCGTTCATCTTGGTCTGCGCATCCAAATTAAGTCACAAAACCCAAAGGTGGCGCACAGAGGGTCAGCCAGAGCTTCCCATGATGTGGTATCTCTGGAACAGAACTGCAAGGCAGTAGTCAGTATTGGGGCACAGCTTGTCTGGTGGCAGTAGCTGGATGGTCACTCATTGCCAGTAATAGGATGATAGCTTTACAAACCATTATGGATGGTGAACCACTGCTGCTTCTGTCCAGTAGATTGTAATAGTCATGTCACTCACAGATCCTGAGACTGGTTAGTGCAGCTGTGGTGGTTTCTTGAATAGATGCATGCAGTTTTGCACATTGATGCTTGCTCTGCACCCATATTATCCTGGGTGTTGTACATTATGCACAGAGAGAGTTTGGACCTGTTCTCAGTAGTCAGTGCCACCCCCTGTTCTACAGTGACCCCCACATTAAGTGATGCAGAACGTGGAGAAATGTTTTCTCCTTGTGTAGTTTGACCATTGTGTGGCTAGATAACTCACTGTCTGAGTATGGTATGAGATTACACCTACATGTGGTATAGGCATATAGTCAAGTGTTCATGTGTACATGTACTTTTCAACATACATGGGTCTGATTCTTCAGAGGTGCTGAGTACCCACAGCTCTGATTAATTTCATTCGGAGTGGTGGGAAATCAGCACTTCTGAAAATGAAGCCTGAATGTTCTAAAAAAAAAAAAAAAAAAAAAGTGGTAATGTGAAATGTCTGTCTGAAAGCAGAAACCCCATCTTGTATTTTAAATTACTTCAAACGGTTTTTAATGGGCGTAAACGAAATATCAGGTCTAATTCAAGCCACGTGGAAAATGTCTCACCGGTTATGCTGTAGCAATAGTTCTAAGGCTTTTTGTGCTGAAAGTTTTATGAGGGGCACAATTTGATTAATTTGAAGACTAGACAGCTTGCTTACTGTTACTGTGTCACAATATAGGAGGAGCCAGTTTGGGGGATGTATCTGAGACTGGAGTGAAGAGGAACTTTGTGGTGAAAACAACAGTGACAAAAAAAAGTGTGTTAACTTCACTAATTCCTATATACAAACTGTTGAATTAGAATTCAGAGAGGGAGGATGGTGTCTGCACTGGAGAAGTTGACCAAACATATATTTATAGCTAAGTGGTACTGTATACTGTCTGCCAGTTGGAAGTAGGGATTAAAATGTCTTTTAAGAAAATATGATGAACCACATTCTGATCTCCTATTAAAGCCCAGTGTGCTGGTACGCTAATGCAGGTGCAGCAACGTCTGTTGTATACCGACAGCTGAAAAGGGGAGGAGAGGTGAATAAGTCCTCTTTGCATTAGAAAGCTGAGGAAATCTTCCCACCACTGCCACAAATATATCTTACAACAATCAAGTGCATTTTGTACCTATTTCTGTCTGCTTTAGGAGCTACAAAAATAAACCCCTTCAAAAACTACACCCTCTGCATGCACAAAAATCCATACAATAATTTCATCTCTCTCAGACTGTATTAATGTCTCCTAGCAGTAACATTCAGTGCATACAATAACCAAACAAGTCTTAAGGTGCTATCAGAGCTAGGTTTGCTTGCAGCATTAGTGTAACCAGCAAGCGGGAGGATTTGTGTTAGTACATTGAGCTTGAGGCAGAGTCCATTTACTTCTCTGAGATATTGTTGTGCAGTATCCACAGAGCAGATCTCCTATCAGGAAGCGGTTGGAATAGTTTCTATGTCACTGGCAGGGTTTTTGCTGCCTCTATATCTTCGAGCACCGGGTAAAGTATTACCGGTGCCAATACTAGGCATGAAAGATGCTGACAGGCACTGTTCCCTCTCTATTTTTGAGCTGTTACCTCCTTTTTTAGAAGTAGAGGATTGTGAATTTGTTTTAGAAAATGTAGAATACTCACTTTTATTGAGAGCATTGGTGACTTGTGTCACCCCATATAAGACAGTTCTCAGCACTCTGTCGTCAGTGTTAAACAACAGTTGAAACTATCTATCTACAGTATGACCTCTCCTCTCCCCATCCCTGAAAAAATCAATACATTGCTTTATACTCATATCTTGTGAAGACCTTGGTGTATATTTTTCATGACCTACTAACGAGGTATCCAGTGACACTGCTTGTCTAAACTAGGGAGGGAATTGTTTATTTTAACAGAAGAAGCAGCTCTCTTCCATATATAGATAATATACCCAGATAATATTATTATTACATTAAGATGAAGTTAAGCTTGAGAGCACATTTCAGTAGTTTAGGGTAAACTATATTCTAGGGGTGTTGTAATTACCCACTACTGACATATGCAGTAGTCATATGATTAAGAGTAAGGCATTTTAGAATTTGTGGACCCAGATTAAATTAAACTCATTTTAAAGAAGTATTTGATTTTTTTTTCATTTTTTCCCCTTATGATGTCATAGGTCTGGACTAGGTGCTAAATTTATTACGGGATTCAGTATTAATTAATTGTAA